TTCCTCAAACTTAGAGTCACCAGCCCACATAAAATCATCTACATGACAAGCTAATACACCAATTAAGTTCCCACTATCATCTACCCAATAAAATACAGCAGGGTCTACTTTGGACATCTGCGCTCCAGTCTCAATCATAACAGCTTTCACTTGATAATACCAGTGGAGAGAAGCATCCCCCAACCCATATACACACTTTTGCAGATGCCATAATTTGTTTGGACAATCTGCCTCCCTAGGTGGACGTATGAAAACATCCCTTTCTATTTCTTTACCCTGTAAGAAAGCAGTTTTAATGTCCATGGATCGAGGTTTCCATCTATTCTGAGCCATGATAGCCAAAATAAGTCTCATTGACTCTTTGCTACATGTGGGTGAATCTTTCTGAATTTGTCATTATTTATCTCCTCAAACCCCCTAGCTACTAATCTTGCCTTGGGTTTTATACTATCACCCGTAGCTTTTAAGGTGCATACCCATCTCGTAGATATACATTTCTGTCCTTCATCTGGTACCTCTTTGTACACTTTGTTTTGTTTCCAACTGTCTAGCTCTGTCAATTTTGCCTCAGTCATTGAAATGTCCTCTAACAGCATGACACTTTCATCAGGAATGTTTACATCAACCCGAGGAGTTTCTAGAATCTCAAGATTATCAACTCTACTTAAATCTACTGACTGGCTTATGCCATCTAACTCATCAGGCTCATTATATTCCAAATTATACCAGTTTCTGTTTTTGCCATGTACTTTGCCAGCTCTACTAATAATTTTGGCTGTAAGTGTATCACCAGTTTGTCTATTAGTATACTTAACTGTATTTCCTGGTTTAATTTTTGAAATATCTGCCAAATTTCTAATACCTAACCCAGTCTCTCCATTATCATTTTCTTGGTCTCCAGACATATCTTGTTGAATCTCTCCTGTCTCTCTGTTTTCAGTCTCTAATTCTATAGATGTATCATGCTGAATTTCCGTAGGTTCTTCACTAACACTTTCTGACTGCTGAGATCTGTCATGGTTACTGATACTTTCTCTTGTAACAGTCTCTGGTTGGCTTGTTTTTCTGAGTCTACATTGATGCACTCTGACCAACATACCACCATGTCGTGCAAAAACTACAGTACCATCCTGTCCTATGACTGTAGCAGAACCCTTCCATTCAGGGCTATCAGGGCGCTTGTAGTATACTTTGTCTCCCAGTTGACAAGTCTCCATCAATGGACGAATTTGCTTTCTTAAAGCTCTTCTTATTCTCTCTGAGCATTCTGACTCAGTAAACGATCGCCTAGCAGCATACATTGAAGCAATATGACTACCAACTATATTACTCATTTCCTCTTACCAGAAGACTCAAGGTGAAATAAACAAAAATGACCGACTGAAGAAACATGCTTAAAGCGTGGTGGTCGTCGCGCAGCGCGTGTTCGAATTTCATGTAAATAAACAATGTATTTTACACGCATTGTATACGTCGCTATGAGTCCCATAACGAACAGGACGCGGCGCGACGACTGCCGCCCTTTAACAATCATAACAAGTATCAGATAAAATGACAAACCTCCAAACTTGATTTCTCCTGCCTTACTCTTGATCCATATGCTTTTAAATCGTTCATTTGAGTTTGTAAATCTTGGAGAGACTGCTTCAATTCACTATCATTTGGTTTCACCTCTGAAAACTGTCCAGTTGTCATGGCAACCTTCCTGTAGTTATCTTTTTCAAGATAAAAAATACAATCCATCAATAACTCACTTGGGCATTCATTTGTGTATATAGCTAAGACAAGCATAAGAAATAAATATCACCCTCACCCTCCTATTTAGATAACATTTAGATATGTATTCATATTCCTATATGAAAGTATGATATGAAGAATTTTCACCTTCATATTAATAATTTAGAAATAATTTTTTGACTATGATGGCAGATGGAAAGACATCAAATTCAAAATTGTAAGATTAATATTACATATTTAACATATTTGTTCTATCACCGATAATAGCGCATATGGAAATGACAGAACATGTTTATGGTCAAGTTGCATTTTAAAACGAGGGAGTCGTCACCTGCGTATACGTCAGATGGCCATAGCATGTCATTGTTTACAAACAAGTGTTTACCCATGAGCCTTTGCGTTTTTAACGTGTGTTGTTATCATCACTTGAGACTCAATTCTTGCATGTGCACAGGTGACGATCCTCCCGCTTTAATGAACCTTCATACAATAAATGCAAATTTGGTTCATGTGCACTTCTAATTTTGCAAATACTGTATATGTAAACACAGGCAACTGGTAATGATTAATTAAAAATAATTAATAGTTAAGCCAGTGCTGGCCAACTGTAATAATTAGTGCTGTCATGACTAAGGCATTAAAAGGCAAAGATAAACTCAAGATAATAATGATTGGAAGGTATGCCTAGCTTTGAGCTTGGGAAATGTTGGATCAAAACCATCTACAACTTTTATATTTTATTTGATGAATTCCCCTTGTATCTCGCTTTCAATACTATACATATACATTAGACTACTTAGTGTTTGTTGACTGATCAAGGCGATAAAATATGTTGAAAATGACCACAATGTAACCAGTCCACTCATCTTGGAAATATTATAGGAATTGTTCCTTATTTGGAATTAACATTTCCTAATAAGGTAAGATACAAAGGTTGACATCACAAAATGGAGATACTAATGGATATACAGTTACAGATTTATTGTGTATTTGGCTCTAAATGTACAGACTGGCAACTAATATCAGTTAGTAATTTCAGCAACGATATACAAATGCCGGAAACTTACTTACCAAGTTGTTTTTTGTGTGTAGAAACCATACATTCCAGCTCTTGTTGACATCTAGCAAATTCAGTTTGCAGTTTCTGTAGATCTGAATTCTTCTCAGCAATTTCACGGGACAACATCGCGTTTCTCACACTCAATTTGTTGAACTGTTCTTCGGACAGAATGTCCACAACAACAGACTGGTCTTGATACTTCTTTGGACTGCCATAATGCATTACTGTCTGGACACCTGAATCCTGAAGAGACTTGGAGGGTGAATCTGACAGACTGAAGCTGTTGTCACTTTCACTTAACGGGAGAGGCGTTGAATGGGAAGGCAAATTTGACATCATGAACTCATCCTCTATCCTATCTGCAGAACAATGGTAGTCATATTCTTGGGTGTCCGGAGTCACAGAACTAGAACTTGAAGCGGGTTCAATTATCACAGGTGTTAAGTGAGTGAAAGCGAACACACTACTGCCCTGAGTGTTATCGGAGTCATCTGATTCAGTACGGGAACGGAATGATGGTGAAATTTTATCTGTTGATAATCTTGGTTGTTGAGGGGAACAGCTGTTAGATGCCGCAACCCAGTGTTCTGTTCGATCCAACTCCTCACTGCTTGTTATCGAGACAGACTTCATCTTCTCCCATGCTTTCAGTTTACGTTCAAATTCTTGACTAACCCCTTCGTACACAAGATTTCCATCCTTAGTTTTAAACACTGTCACCGTTTCTGTACTGTATATCGGTTCTGCTTTTATTTCACTACTTTCCTTTCCTTCCTTTGGCTTTTCTTTTGATTCCACTTTAGTTTTATCTTTCTTCGTCTTCGTCGTTAGTTTTCTTTCCAACTTTGGAATCACTGTTCCCTTCTGTTTTTTCTTTTCCCATTCTTCCCATTTTTTGGAGAACTTATCAGTCATATTTTTTTGCAGTTCGTCCACAACGTCAGACATATCCGCTGATGCGCAGTCGCTACTGGAAAAAGTCCTCAGCCTATCGAGTGGTGCTGGAGCTGAACAAATTTAGACAACAAAGTTACTGTGGAATACTTTATTTTCGCTGGAATTAATTTTCGCTGAAAAGGCTTTTTGGGCGTTTTGTATGGAACTTATTTTCACTGATTTTTGATGAATTTAATGTGAAATATAGAAAAAAAAAGTATATTTGCTGGATTTTATTTTCACGAAATCATCCATTCAGTGAAAATAGCGAAAATAAATTCCAAGCGAAAATAAAGTATTCTACAGTAATCTGAATTAATCAGAACTGAAGAAGATATATAAACAGCTTTATATAAAAACAAACATAGGGGTTATGGAATGGTGTAGATAGATGTACGAGTTACGGAGGAATACAAGCAAAGCCACAGGGGAGAGACAAGAACATTACCTTCAGCTCAGGAAGGTTTCCAGTTTACATAGGTGTATTTTTAAGAGTGAAACCTGTCTATACACAATAATAATTAGAAAATGGTTGAGGTTGTTAATAATTTGTTGCCACGGTGACCAAATTTTGTTACTGACCACTGAAAACTATGAGACAGATGCAGTAATCTTGCTGGCTATTCCTTTTGTAGGAGAAATTCTCAACAATATTTTTTTTGGATTGATCCGACTAAATATAATTTAGTTTTGGTACCAACAGCTTTAGGTATATAAAACAAGCAGCCTGTCGGCTGAGATAGCTCCGCTGTTAGCCATGCACATGGCAATTAAAGAACAGAAGATATCATTACAAAATGAACAAATCTGAGAGAGGTCCACATGTAGTACCTATATATGTAATATCAAAGCAATTGGACTTGCGGTTTTCAACAAGAAGTCGAAAATATCACTTTTTACCAAAAATTACAAAAATATTCACCAAAATTAGAGAATTGAAGATATCATTACAAAATGAACAAATCTGAGAGAGGTCGACATGTAGTACTTATATATGTAATATCAAAGCAATTGGACTTGCGGTTTTCAACAAGAAGTCGAAAATATCACTTTTTACCAAAAATGACAAAAATATTCACCAAAATTAGAGAATTGAAGATATCATCATGAAATGAACAAATCTGAGAGAGGTCTACCCAAGGTACATATACACCAAGTATCAAAGCATTCAGGCTTGTAGTTTTCAAGAAGAAGTCGAAAAAGTAAAACATTGACACGGACGACCACGACGACGACGGACAATCACTCATATGATAAGCTCCGCTCGACAAAGTCGACAGCGGAGCTAATAAGTGTTTATTAAACCGGCTTTGTAAAAATTTTATATTTTTTTATCGTATTCAAGTAGATACTGCAAATGGCTTTTTAATATCTCAAGACCAATTTTTTGCAACTTTGTAAAACAGAAAAATCATGAATTTTGGCAGGAAGACACAGTGACTATCATGAAAAGACAACAAATACCCTTAAAATAGCAATTTGCAAAAATGTCAAGCAGCACAAATTGACGGATTAGAAGGACTGTACAAGCAAAGATATATTAGGCTCCAACCTTTTATAAGTAAAGCACACTACAATTTACTCCAGAAAAACAATTTTCTTGGCACATTCCTACATTCTTGCATAATAATGAGGGGGGTTCAGACACATTCCAAGCTGAACAATTTTCTTGGACTAATAACAAAGCTGGTCAATCCTTTCCCGGCAAAAACGTATATAAAGGGTGTTCAAGAATGCTCAATCTGAATTCTCAATAAAAGAGAAAAAGCATAATCCTATCATTTACAAAGAGTCAGGTTTCAGTTTATTTCAAGAGCTGAACTTTTGCAATCTAAATAACATTTTGGTGCACGTAATATAGTACTGTGTCATACTTTTGTGTTTTTCGTTGGTCTGGTCACTTCTATCAAGTTTTAAAATCTATCTAATTTGCTTTATGGTAAATGATAAAGTGTTAGAAATCAAACAAAGAGGTTAGCCGTAAAAAAAAAATGAATAATCTTCAACAATGGAAAATACATTATATGCTTTTTGTTAATTTATTTAAATGATTATAATATTCTTTTAATTTTAAATTAAATAAGTTTTGTTTAGGGGAAAGAGAACATAATGGTGAATGGAAGATTTTGAGTTTCAGTGAGAAATTGAGACCATCCCAAAAAAAGCACATCAAACATTCATTAATAAGAATACACTGCACAAAGCACATTACACAAATATAGAACAAGCAGCCTCTTGGCTGAGATAGCTCCGCTGTTAGCAATGCACATTTCGATTAAAGAACAGAAGATATCATTGGAAAATGAACAATATGAATAGTATCAAAGCAATCGAACTTACAGTTTTTAACAAGAAGTCGAAAATATCACTTTTTACCAAAAATTACAAAAATATTCACCAAAATAAATTAAGATTAAAAAATGCTATTTTATGAATGCTTAATACAAGAACAAAATGATTTTGTTAGATTAGATGTTAGTGATTGACATTTATCGTTCAGTTAGTTTTGAATCAAAGTATGGTCAGATGTGACAAATGAAAGGCTGCAGTTCAGGGCGTTGTTTGCATTTAATGCAGGTCTTCATACAATGTACAATAACGTTGGTGCACACATTTGTCCATTCACAAAAAATGAGCGGGATGCGAGAACTGACGCCCTTCAAATTGCAATCACCTTTTACTAAAAGCTATCATCCTTTACAGTTATAACTTGCAGTGCTACTATTTTGTCAAAACACTTTACTTACAAGAAAGAGAAACAAATGAATATAATAAACATTTATCATAACAAGTAGTACTATTATATATTAAATCTGTCCATAAGTTAAAGCATGCCGTAATTTTTCAGTATTGCACAGGATATCTACATCCTACCTTATTAAGAAATGTAAATTCCAAATATGGAATACCGGTAATTACATTGTATATGTATATTGTGAATTTTTTTAGAAATAAGCTCATAGCCAGAAAGCCCCAATAATTGTCACCATTTTACTCAAGTTCTGGGCCTTCTATACCAAGCAATTGGATCAGATAGGTATATAATAACAAGGTTATTTATGAGGATACCGCAAAGTATGCATTCATGCAGTACATCAACCTCCCTACGTGTGTCAGTCGTGCCAGAAGATAGAGCATTGATGTACATGTCTTACAACACGATTTCTGTTGTCTATTGTAAGAAGTGTCGAAAGTCTGAAATTAATGCACGTTGAAGGTCAAAGAGCACCAACACTAATCACTTATTACTGAATTCTATCTATATGAAATGAAAGCCTGCATTGCATGCATGAGTGAGTGGTTGGAAAGGTGGCCTACTCAATCAAAAAGTTAGGAAACAAACCAGAATGAAAGGAACTTTATACTCATGGGAAATAATCTAATAACGCCTGCCCCTTCTTTCTCTCCCCATTTCACTACAAGGAAGTAATGTTTAAAACTTGACACAGAAGTTTTGAAAGATATGCTATGTACACTCTTTCTCTCCCCTTTTCACTACAAGGAAGTGATGTTTTAAACTAGACACAGAACAAGTTTTGAAAGATACGATACATACACTACAACTAGAAGATGCAATACTGGCATAAAATATATTTTCGTGAAAGAACAAACAAAAGTGATGGAAAGCATTCAAATACTAATCAGCTCAATACAGTACTACAGTGTACTATTTCTACTTGGTACGTTGAGGGCGCCATTTTCTGAAACCATACCAAGGCTTATAGGCCCACCCATGTATTCATTTGACATGTGTTATAATCCATGTGAAATTGACAAAATAAACATTGTTTTTACCAAAGTACGGGTCGTACTTTTCAGAAAATAGCGAGTACGGGTGATATTTGAAGCAAGTACGGGTGATATCTGTAGCGAGTATGGGTGGGGGTATTGCGGGGTAAAATGTATGGGATTTATACAACAATTACGGGTGTAACAAAACACTCCAGTGAGAAAGAAAATATCAGTGGTACGAACTGAAACTAGTTCAATCTAACAAACCGAAACTAGTTCCACCTTACGAAAACTAAATGGGGACGTGAAGCAGCCATGTTCAATTAATTATATATTCACGCAATTTGATCCCTATGACGTAGCAAAGCGAACGCCTCGTAAAAAAAGGTGCCGCGTAACTGACCAATTGAAAATACAATAATAAATAAATAGACTCATTCCCCTTGGCCCGACGAGAGTGACGCAACAGTGTTCGTAATGACACTTTTGTCTAAATATAACCATAGACCTTAGAGAAAGCCGCGGTAAATAACCTAACAAAGGAGCGTGTATTTTGCGCACAGTCTATTGTGTACGAATTTTAATTATCCACAGCTCTTGAAAGCTAGGAATAAGCTAGTCACATGTATGTTCCAAATCATATTCTGCACAATAATTTCCAGGCAAAAACAAATCACGCGTGCAGGAATACATTCAATTTGGCTTGATTTTGGATATCGGTAAAACGACGTGTTTAAAAGCGATCTAAGTGTCACATATAGCGCTGTCATTGTGTAAACAATTAAGGTCTTCAAGGTGATCACATCTCAACAACGCCGAGGTGTTAATCATGCCATGGATTCAACTAGCTCACTCAATAAAAATGTACGCTACAGTGAAACAATGTTATATTTAGACAAAAGTGTTATTACGAACACTGTTGCGTCACTCATCAGGCCAAGGGGAATGAGTCTATTTATTTATTTCTGTAGCTCCATGATTAGACTTGTCTGGTCAGTTACGGGGCACTTTTGTTTACGAGGCGTCCGTTTTGCTACGTCATATGGGTCAAATTGCGTGAATACATATATATAATTAATTAAACATGGCTGCTTCATGTCTCCATTTAGTTTTTGTAAGATGGAACTAGTTTCAGTTCGTTAGATTGAACTAGTTTCAGTTCGTACCACTGCTATTTTCTTTCTCAATTGAGTGTTTTGCTACACCCGTAATTGTTGTATAAATCCTGTACATTTTACCCCGCAATACCCTCACCCTGTACTCGCTATATTTTACCACCACCCTCCATACTGGCTACATTTTATCACTCGCTCTCGCTAAATTACCTCCATGTACTGCTAAATTACCACCCGTACTGGCTACAAATATCACCCGCACTCGCTACAAATGTCACCCGCACTTGCTACAAATATCACCCGTACTTGCTACAAATATCACCCGTACTCGCTACAAATATCACCCGTACTCGCTACAAATATAATCCGTACTCGCTACAAATATCACCCGTACTCGCTATTTTCTGAAAAGTACGACCCGTACTTTTCACCCGTACCTGGCTCATTTTGGTACATTTATATATATGGCTGATGACACTTTCTGTGACAAGGCCATCAAGCCTCAGTTTGGTTACAGAAAGAAGGGCACCCTCAAGAGGAACTGTAAACTACAATTCTGTTCTACATGCTAACTTTTGCAAGCCGAGCACAATATAACCATGCCAATCTAAGACATGTACACTCAACTCACTGATGGGCACACTGAGTCGGTTTTTCTTTTTCTCCCACTCTGTTAGCTTCTTTCTGAACTGGTCACTAAGATTGGCTTGTACGGCATCTACATCGATGGTTGCAGATGGCATGAGCCATCCCGTCATCGCGGTTGACAGTGATGTGGGAGAAGAGCTTCGAGCTCTTATCACTGTGCATTGATATTGTAAATGAGAAAATTAAAATATGACAATGTTGAAAGTTTACTGATATTTTTCCTTGACATAACCTATGCTACAACAGAGCTTCCAAGTACAGCCTATCATAAATACATTTAAAGTCTAGGTCAAGGTGACAGAAATTGTGGGCCGTATAGATCATAATAACTATTTCCAACAGCTTTGTATCCATGTTAATTTTTTCTCACTATTCTTGTGGTTGTGGGCGACTGGCGTTTCTTTCCTGATTGTTGAGTCTTCGTAATGTGTTTAAGACTTGTATAATTATTGTTGTTTTCCTCAAGGCGAAGACAAGCTGAAGGACCACGAAGCTAAATGGCAGTTCCATGCATGGACTGAGTGAAAGAAAAACCTAAAATAAAAGCTAATATTACACCTCTTTGTGTATTTGTTAATTTTACATATGTTTGTCATGACAGTATGTTTGTAAATATCTAGAAAAATTTCGTCTTTCGTTAATAATTTCGATTGTTTGGAATGTCTGTCGACCGTGTCCCAATTATTTGTTCGGAATATCGATTCCTGTTAGTTTCTCCATACTGAGTTTAGGACGGGCGTTGGTCCTAGACAGGACAAACATTGACCGTAATTCGTGGTGATCATGTCCCGTATTTTTGGGGCTGAAAACCCAAATAATTAAACAAGTATTATTATTATATATATTTTATTTTACATCGCGAAACTACAACAGTGAAACCGCCGCCTTGAAGTCGATGCAACTTCAACTTGCCATTCAGTTTCTTACCTTGAAATAAAAAAAATATATAAATTCGAAGAGCATCGGGGAATATATTAATAACCATTCTTAGATATCGCTAGCTTTATTTTATTCGGATCCATAACATTCACGAGTTTTTTTCGACAGATGCTGGCAATTTTCGCACTAAAAATGGTTGAAAATGTAGGTGTGGTTCTTTCTATCCTGTGATAATACGGACAAATATGGTTCTGTGACCCAGGTCACGCTCCGATCAGGCGACTTTCAGCCAATCAATGATGTTGTAACCAAGCATATTTGATGTTATTTGAAGGGTCGTTGTACCATCCAATCTCCGACGTCGATTCACATACTTTTTGTGCTGTGACAGGCTTTAAAAATATTCAATGAAAAACATCGTTATATTTTGACAAACGAGTGGGATTTGACCACAGTTCAAAAAGTAAAAAAAAATAGGCTGAGATATATTAGAGTTCACGGCGAATCAGTTTTATTTGCAAGTTTTGAAATAAGGTAAACCAGAGTAGAGTCGATGATTTTCAGTACCGAAGGACTTTCGCGTGTGAATCATGATTTTTGAATTGTTCGTTGACTGGTCACCAAATATTTATGACTATAATTAAATTTGACACGTTTTTTTTCTGAAGCCCATTAAATTATTCATACATGTCAAGCTCTGTTCGATTTTTTCAGGGCATGTGGCCGTTTTATTTGAAAATATTACGACACTGATCGTGACTTAATTTTGAAAATTGAATGTCAAATGTTACCATACCAACTTGAAAATAGCCAAGATGGCGACGACTATATGGAATATTATATGGTATCATAACTATTATTTTTTTAATTTGTTTTGTCCATTATTTAAATAAATGTACATAACTGCTGCTATATGGCCAACAATATTGACAGGATTGACCTTTCCTTTAACCCTTAGTCAACTTTTGTCTTCATAAACAAATTTTAAACCCACGTAATTTTTCCATAATTTTTTTAAAATTTGAATTGAGATTTATAGCCAGTAGGAAATTATGTCCAATCAGACCAAGATTATCACAAAAAAATTTAGAAATACATGAAAATATTCAAAGCAGCAAGTGGGCGATACATACACTATCTGATGGTGGTAAAATTATGGATATTTCTTGACAATAACTTTTTTTGTTACTCCCAAACAAATAGTTTCTACAAATAGTTTCTAAAGGTCACACATCCTGGGACTTTCGTAGGTTTTTATTGCCATATAGCAGCAATAACTTTATACATCAATTTCTGAATTTCAATAGCTTGTATTTTGGGTGGAAAATAATAGATTTGTACCCCCAGAAAGTACCAGGATGTGTGACCTTTTGAGAGAAAATAATTGAGAAATTCTCATTGGTAGTAAATTTGTATCCCCAGAAAGTACCAGGATGTGTGACCTTTTGAGAGAAAATAATTAAGAAATTCTCATTGGTAGTAAATTTGTATCCCCAGAAAGTACCAGGATGTGTGACCTTTTGAGAGAAAATAATTGAGAAATTCTCATTGGTAGTAAATTTGTATCCCCAGAAAGTACCAGGATGTGTGACCTTTTGAGAAAAAATAATTGAGAAATTCTCATTGGTAGTGAATTCGTACCCCCTGAAAGTACCAGGATGTGTGACTTTTTGGGAGGAAATAATTGAGAAATTCTCATTGGTAGTGAATTTGTACCCAAAGAAATACCAGGATGTGTGACCTTCATGGGTTGTGCCTGCATAAAAAGCCTATGCAGTGTAGTGTACTTACCTCTACGTTTGGTTCCAGGACTTCCAGTCATCCCGCTAGCCTTGTTCTTTTTCTTTGTCTCCCATTCTTGCATTTTTCTAGTCCATTCCTCCGAGACACCACCAAGGAGTGTGGACACATCAAGATTCTCGTCCTTCAGCGCCAAGAGTATACTATCATCAAGAGCATGAGTTCTGGATTTCCCGCTCATCGTTAGATCTTTACGAACTAACGCCTGCTTCACTTTATCCCAACCTTATGTACGAACAAAATAATGATGTCATTTTCGTATTGTAGGTAACATTTTCATCTTCTCACAAGATCAGTACGTTCAAAATCCAATATAACATCGCAAATTTAAAAGAGGATATACCAATGGTGTTATATACAATGAAAAACTCATAAGAATGGAAGAACAGTCATCCAAATTTCAAAATCACAAATGTTTATAGAAATAATAATTCAAATGGGTCTGTGAAAGAACTTTTTGTGAATTTGTGAACATAGAATATTATTTAAATCAGATTGGTCCTTGGATGTTATTTCTTGTATCACATAGTAATATTAAAAAGTTTTATAAGTGTAAATACAAAACAATAAATACCATAGTGTTCAATTTTTCTAGGACACCTATAAGTCTTGAAGACTACATAGACTACATTTATCAGTATAGAAAAGTAATGATGTTTAACTGCCCATTTGGGATATTAATGTTGGAAAATGATAGTCCTGTGACAATTGGTAGTCTCTGTCATGGGAATCTGATTTATGCCATATACCTAAATTACCATATTAATAAAAAGAAAAAAGAAAAAAACAATATTTGAATTTAAAAAACCTTACCTTTCAACTTTTTGTTGAAACTTGGTGATGTTTCTTTCAGTTGTCCCTTTCTGTCCAGCTTTGGTGATATAAATGAAATTTCTCCATCTTCATCATTCATTGCTTCTGAAGATGCAGTTGCAGTTGTCATGGAAACATCTACTGTTTTTTCTATCTTTTCCTTACTGCTGTGTTCTTGCTCCCCATGTGTCTTTTTGCCACTTTTCCGTTTGCCACTTTCTTTTCGCAGTATAATATCCTTCATTTTACCCAAAGTGAGAGTTTTTCCTTTTTCCTTCTCACTTTCATGTGACCGAGCAAGTGCAGGGCTCCTTTCAACACTATCACCTTCTGGTAAACTAGTTGAGCGGTTCAATGTCAAATCACCATTATTGGCTGCATTAGCATTTGAATTTAGCTGTGAAAAGTCTTTCTTCAATGCTTCTTTGATCTCATCATCAGATTTCACATCAAGTTCCACAGACGAACAACTGGAAGGCGAATCACAGTCTCTATCAAGTGGAAAATCATCAACTTCCAACCATTTTGCACTTTTTATTTCCAAGAAAGTCTTATCACTTTCAGAAATGTCAACATGATGTGAAGCGAGAGCAACACGTTTTCTTTTTGGACACTGATCTTCAGGATCAAAACATGCTCCACTGTCAATTGATTTTGTTTCGTTTATGTCGCCACCCTCTGTTTGCATCTTTGGCATGGGTATCACCTCAGGTTCATTAAATACGCACATATTGGGTTCACTCCTTCTTGATGATAACCGCTTTTTCCTCTTTACACTACCATTTTTGCTATAACTGAACTTTTCTTTAACTTTCTCCCAGCGTGATAAACTCTTTACTCTTCGAAACTCTTTAGCGAAAACATCAGCAGCATTTTCGTTAACATCGAGTGAGCGACTACGTTTGCGATTTGCATCAAGATCTGCAGTATTTAACATGTCTGATATATTTTTTGATTCTGAACCATCATCAAGTTCATCAGCAACATCTTCATCATCATCATCATCACCGAAAACAAAATCAATAGAAGGTGGAAAAAGAAATCTCTGTGCTGCATCACACTGACAATGCATAGCTAAGCACTGGTTTCGCATCTCTTGCAAGTCCTTCATACCCTCCAGATAGTCAGAGTGCTTTTTTAACTCGTAGTTCTCTTGTTTTAAATCGGACAGCTGTTCCATTATAATCACCAGCCTCTGCAGTTGATCTAGCCCACTGGTAGCGGTCGGCATGGAGATACTCCTTTCCACCTCAGGAGGAGGAGGAGGAAGTGCCGGGGATGTAGTAGTCGATGTGGAACGACATGGTCTTGTTGGATGCTTTTTGTTGTGCTTCTCAACATCTTTTTCAATTCCCTTCCAGAGATTCATGATTGTGTCCCATTCGTGTGTTAGATCAGTCTGTTCACTAGAAGTTGATGATTCTTGACTGGTATCGTCTCGTCCATCTTCCCTACTCACACTGGTTGTGGATAACTCAGATTCAGAAGGAACAGAGATAGAAATTCCATCTTCAGAATCGCTTTCTTCATCTGTTATTGTCTCCATGACAACTGATGGAATCAGCACCATCGGCGCACTAGTTGATTTTTTAAGAAGTTTTTTCCCTTGCAATTCAATCACATTATCACTTGGTGAAGGCTTTAAAGAATTGTTTCCACTTGATTCTTCTGAAGCCATTTTCAGTTAAAAATGTAAAAGTTTGTAGTTAGTAGATCTCAAAATTTTTTATTTAGTGTCATAGTCTTTTTTGTTCATTCTTCAGTGATTACTGTCAAATATATCACTGCACCTACAATTAAAAAGACAAATATAAGTGAACACAGTTTCTCTGACGTGGATACAAAATTATAAAAAATTATATATGTGTGGGAAAGGAGACAGCTGATAAATAACAAACGAAATTTGAAAACCTTGAATCAGAAACGAAATAAAAAATAGCAGTGTTAGATGACTGAGATAGAATTCAATGTGTATGAACGCAAAACTACTTTTTCCTGCCAACATATCACCCAAATGAAAAGAATTTACAATTTACAGGGGAAAGAAAGAGGCATAGGTACTATATTGTCTTGACAATGGCAACCGTTATACCTCTATTTCTCAATTATGCCATGGTACCCGTCCTATGCAGCCAATCTTTAGGTCATATACACAAAATAGAATTGTGTGTTCATGCCCCCCCCCCCCCCGCACGTTCCATTTCTCTTTGACTTTATAATGGACAGTTGCCATGCCATCCTCTAGACTGATAATGCTAGTCTAGTTTGTATTTACAAAACAGATGTCATTACTATCCCAGTCCTTGACATAAAGTATTGTTAACAAGATAAACAACATCAATTAAACTAAATATAGTTTAACATTTATCAGTTTTACCAGACCACCATCAATGAAATTGTTTTTGCTAACTGCTAGCATGACCATCTCAACATACTGTAAAATACTGTATTTTAGCTGGAATAAATTTTCGCTGAAAAGACTTTTTCAGTGTTTTGTATGGAATTTATTTTCCCTGATTTCTGAAAAGTTGAATGTGAAATGTAGGAAAAAGGTTTTTTTATTTTCACTGAATCATTCCTTCAGCGAAAATAGTGAAAATTAATTCCAAGCAAAAATAAAGTATTTTACAGTACAGACCAATGAAGCAGTGACTTAAGAGTGCTACAGGGTTTACACTAGACTGTCGACAGTCCTCGGGCCTAATGTACATGTAATTGTGTATCCTAGACATTCAAACACCGAAGGCGTTTGATGGGAAATGCAAAGCATTTTACACGAAGGTCCCAGCATTCAAAATTTATTCACGCCTACCACGTTTATAATACATATTCGTTATTAATAACAGATTACTATTAGGTATGGCTGACTGTCGACATTCTAGCTTTACACTACAGTTAAATACACCTTAATTGACACTAAAGATTACATTAGACTCCCATCTAAGAATCGGAAAATAAAACAAGCAGCTTCTCGGCTGAGATAGCTACAGGGTTTACACTAGACTGTCGACAGTCCTCGGGCCTAATGTACATGTAATTGTGTATCCTAGACATTCAAACACCGAAGGCGTTTGATGGGAAATGCAAAGCATTTTACACGAAGGTCCCAGCATTCAAAATTTATTCACGCCTACCACGTTTATAATACATATTCGTTATTAATAACAGATTACTATTAGGTATGGCCGACTGTCGACATTCTAGCTTTACACTACAGTTAAATACACCTTAATTGACACTAAAGATTACATTAGACTCCCATCTAAGAATCAGAAAATAAAACAAGCAGCCTCTCGGCTGAGATAGCTCCGCTGTTAGCGATGCACATTTCAACAAGTCATTGTCAATGACACGTCCCCGTTCCGTTCATATTTGAGTGACATATACATTCAAAGCAGATCATGACCGAAATGCACCTGCATATGTACAACACATTGTACTAAATCTGAACAAAATCCATCCATGCATGACTGAGATCTGGTTCCGGAATTGTGAAAATATGTGATTTTAATGCATTTTCGGCCTTAAAATGGCCATCATTCAGCTATTGTTAAGCGGATCAAGAAACAAATGCACATATCTATTTGTGACATGATGTACCATGTGTGTGTGAAGTTTGAACTTGATCAAACCAGACATGTCTTGGATACGGATCCAGAACTGAATTCTTTAAGAAAATGGCCGCCAGTCGGCCATTTCGAACTTGATCCGGGAA